GCATTTCTGATATAAATTTTAATTAAATTTGTAGTTCAAATATTAATAAATAGTATGATTATTAACTGCTTTTTAATGTGGAAACTTTATAGTAGTAGACACAATTACAAAATGACCACCATTTTGAATAACGTAATTACTTAATTTTCGATGTTTCGATGAATACTGAATAGAAATTACATGTTTCAATTAAAATCTCAAATTATCTATGTTGGGGAGAAGATCCAAACCCGACTATATAATTATCCAACAACTGCAATATAACATTGACTTCTTTAATGCAGTATTTATTAACACAGTTTGTTTTATTTAATACTTTTAATTAAATTTATATTTTGTTATTAAAAAGAAATCACATAAAAATTGTACTGTATGTAATTAATAGTTGCGCCCATACTATTTTTACACGAATTAATGTTTATTCCTCTAATTTAGACCTACAAAGTTGTATATACGTAAGTACAATTAAGTAAAAAAATATAAAAGTTATAGAATTAAGTAAAATAGTATAAACGATATATCTTAGAGAGAGAAAATATTTATTTAGAATGGTAAATGTTTTGTCAGTGTGCCATTTTGAAGAAAAGGTCAAGTGAAGTCTTGCTCGAGTTGAAAGGAAATCCATCCGGATTTGTTGAATTTTTTAAAATGGCTAATATATATTTTTACATGAAAATTTACGAATTTATTTTTAAAATTATCACCTTTTAAAAGATGGGATGGCGAATCTTTATCATGAATTCAGTAACTATAATTTTCATGTCTTACGATCTGCAGGACTATATTATAGAAACATAAATTACGTGAGATAGTAAATTAAAGAGTAGAACGAAGGAATATGTTAGGAGAATTGTTAATTGATAACAGAACTTAAATCTCAATTTTCCAGACAACGAACTTGTGCAATTAAAATATATCTGAGCAACGTCTAATGAAGTAAAAGCGAAAATGAATTCTGTGTTAACACGAAACAGATTAAAATAGATTTTTAAAAAGGAGAAAAACTAGTTTAAAAAGTATAAAATTAATCTCTTTTTCTGTTATTTTATTAAGTATTGATAAATTATTTTAAATCTTGGACCTTGTAGTGTGCTTAGTTAACGTGTTATCTGCTTATCGTAAATCGTGTCAACGTGAAATTTGGGTTAGGTTTGATTCGTGTGTATAGTTGTTCCGATACCACAAAAATATCGATACCGGTATCGGCTGAGGGTATCGAAACTGGAAATCTTGCTGGATGTCGCTGTTCAGTCCAGTTGTTTTTACTACTCAGAATGTATTCTATTCATTGCAATGAAGGCTGAATGGGCCCCAGAGCATAAATTAATATTTTTTGGTTACTCCAGAGAATTGAATCCGTTGGTTATATACAATAATAATTAGCGTGTAGTTTTGACCTCGTCCTGGTTTATATCGTACTGCGGATAAGCCAGCGGCGTCCGTATGATTAATACAAAGATTCTTAATACTGGGTTTGTATATAGTTATTTTTTTACAGTTTTTCCCCTGTGTTGATCTCTGGTGGGTTTTAAGAGTTTAGCGTCCGTGAAGTTTGGTACATTCTCGGAAACCGTTGCCATGATAGCCAGCATTGCGGTGCCCGAAGCCTTCCTAGTCTTTGGGATGTGTATCCTATATATTTGCCGACTTTGTTTTCTAGACCAAGAGTGAAGGGTATTCATGCACTCCTGGGGCTATGGTGGAATCGATTGAGTTCTTGTCGTTACGCAATGAGCCATAAACTGTATTGTTGCGTTTTTACATTAGTTGCTTGTTGCCTCGTCTAATAACCTTTCTGAAGGTATTATCTAGCAACTTGTATGTTACCGTTTCGCTCGTGGATGGAGGGGGTTTATATTTTTGGGAAGTCTTCTGTGGTTATATGTATTAACTAAGGCATTGATGGTGTATTGGTTGTATCCGTGAGTGGCTGCTATGTTTCTGATTCCGTTCGACTCCTTTAAGGTATCCCTTCTGTCTGTGCAATATGTATAAGCTCTCGTGATAAGGTCTTTGAAAGCCGCCGTTTTGTATCTTGGCGATTCATTCGAGTAGCGAGGGATTAATAACTTCTGTGCTGTTTTTCGAAAATTTCTGAAATTTTGCGAGGAGATTTACGTATTAGGAACATTGATGCTGTCAAAGTTTGATTGTTGAAGGTCGAGAGGGTGGAGAGATAGAGGAAGTCATGTGTCATATCTTTTATATTAGTATTTAAGCATTTATTTTTTATGTTAATTAATTTTATACACGAATTTTTAGGTTTATAAAATGATAATTACAATGCCACTTGAAATAATTATTGTATATTTAAGAAGTAGTTTTAATGAATCTGTATCAATTTGTAGCAAAATTTTTCTGTATATTTACTAAGCAGTTTTTGAATTTTCAATATAAATTTAATATAAAAGTAATTTAATATTTAAATATGTTTTCCACATCACAATTGGATTGTAAACTCAAAATGATAGACAAATAATGAAAATTCGTAACTCTTGAAAAGTACTTTCTACTTTTGTTGGAAGTATTTAAATGCTTTATTTAAATATTTTTTATAATCTAATAAAACAAAGGAATATATATTTTTCATTTTTACATTGTCTAATATTTTTATTTTTCTTATTTACTTATTTTTATTGCTTGCAGATTTAGTTAAGATTAAAAACATGTATTTTTTATGATTTTTAAAGTAAGATATTTCTTCATTTTTTCGTTTTAAAAAATAGGAAAAAATTGATCAAATATTAAAAACTTTTTCTGAGTTGTTTTTCTTTTTAAGAAATAAATTTAGAAATAGAAAGAATTGTTTTTTATTTTTTATTTTTTGAAAATGTTGCAAACATTTATTTAAGAAAGAAATTCAAAGTGAATTTTTCTTTGGAAAGTATATTCATTTTCAAATTCGTCACTGATATTTTCAATTGAAATCTGAAAATATCATTTAGTCTATTGTTTATCTTGAGATTTCGAATTTGCAAAGTGGTAATTTATATTTATCTCTTTTTATTTCTTATAAATAACATTTTCTCTGCAATCAAACAAAATAAACTTCTGCAAATTGTTCGTGGAAAAAATAAATATATTTTTTATGATACGCTCTTGTTTTACCCGCCATTTCTTGTAGTACAAAGAATAAAACTTAAATACTAGATTAACTAGTGTAGAATTATCTATAAATGCAAGTAGAATAATTAAGTAGGTGTGCCCGTGTGCTTCGAACACCTCGTTCCGCTCGCCCATAGGCTTGATATTCTGAACTTTAATTTTGTATATATCCGGTCACAGGTTGAATTTTAAAATTCTGTCCGCATCGTGACCTAGACCGAGATGAATTCTGTTTTTTCACAAAAAAATTATTTAAATCAGTTAAGCGGTTTCAGAGTTAAACGTCTCACAATCGTCAAAGTCGTTGCTAAGAGCTTCGCTCAATGAGCCATAGGATTATCATTAAAACTGTTTTACAGTCGAAAATTCTGTAATTTATATCTAAATCTTTGAAAATTAAACAGGAAATATTCTTATATTCAAAAAGCAAACTATATTTTCCACACATTTTTTAAAGTTCCGCTTAATGGCAGAGTGACGAAACATCATTCAGAGATATTATTATAAAAATTGATATTTTGTTCGATTTTGAATACGAAAAAGTTTGATTTTTACGCTAAATTCAGGCAAAATTCAATGATGAAACTACAATAAATATATACAGAGAAGTTTATTTCATATGGAATAAGTATTTTTAAATTATTTTGAAACATTCCTGCATACTGTGCTTTACTTCAAACGTATAGGGAATAGGGGAAGTAAGAAAATGTTATAGAAATAAAATTTAATACTGTTACGAATCGAATTCTGAATGTTACTGATAAGCAGCCAGGCAAGAAATATGACATAGCTACATTTTTATGTCTATGTAGCTACATCATGTCTCTTGCGTGTATGCGGGTCAACTTCAGTCAGATAATACACGAGATACGTTTAAGAATAATCTATTTTTTAATGCTGAATTGCAAACTAATAACTTATTAACTAATTAATTTTGTCATTTCTTTCGGAAATTATCTTACTAATAATTATCTTCACATGCAAATGAGATGTGTATCTTTATTCTTTGCACTTCTTATGCCCTCAATATTTGAATTTTTAGCAAAAAGAAGAAAAACTTAATTAAAAATAAGACAAAATAAAGATGTTTTGTCTTATTTTTGAGTAAGTTTTCCTTCATTTTGCTAATTCGAAACTACACCAGTATAATAAGTCCTATTTACAAACAAAGTCTACGTGGATAATATATAAACAAAAATTAAGATGTGTATCTGTTTTATGAAGCTTTCGACATTAATAAACTTAAGAAAATATCTAAATATTACTTTAAAAAACATTAAGAATACATTATATTAACTTTTCGATCATTTATTAAAGTCTATTTTTAGAAATTTAAGGCTTGAACATACATTTTTTCTGCGTGCTAAAAATTGATATCCCGTATGATTTAAAGGCTTAGTTTTTTGTTAAGTTTAAGAATTTTTGCGTACAAAATATGCAAAAATTATTAATTATCGAGGAATTTTAGCTATAATTACATAAATTATAAATTTTGCAACGTGTAATGATTATATAACAATTACAGACGTTGCGTATATGTGTCACGCCAGTTTGAACTTTACATATTTTAAATACTTCTATAAATTATTAAATTTATATAATTAATTATTACGAAAAGTCTTGTTTCCTTTTTAGGATTTTGTTTAAATAGAATAAAATCTTAATTACACTATTTATTATTTAAAAGTTTTAATTAATAAATTTATAATCCTTAACATTTTAAAACACGCCAACGTATCGAATCCCAACCGGTAGTTCGCGATCTCTAGGCACATATAGTACACAGCTCTAATTTACAGAAAATAGAAACGGATTGAGAAACACCACTACAAAATTTTAAATAATTTACACGTGATAAATATGTTCTAAAATTGATCAAAATTTTTATATTTCAGATTTTTCGTGGAAACTTAACCGAGAGAATTTGTATTCAGTAATTGTCTAAGGACAGAGATAATTAAGATTAAAGTAAGTAAAACGCATTTAAATGTATTTAATAGTTAAATATAATTAAAAAATTAATTTTTTGCGATTGATATATTCTACGAATTACATTTTAGTGGCAAGTATATGTGGTGTAGTGATATTTGGATAAGAAACGAGGTACTTGTGCGGGGTACTTTGTGTGTTTTCTTTATCCATTTACGAGTTGTTGTGTGAACTATGAAATTGCTTGCTCTCTTGTTAGAGATTGAGAAGAAATCAGTATAAAGCTTTCTCAAAGCAGTTTATATCCACTTTTATGAGATGTTTCAAGAGTTTTCTAACGATATTTAACACGTGATAAAATAATTATTAAGAAAATTAACATTTCTTCATTTTTTCGTTTTAAAAAATAGGAAAAAATTGATCAAATATTAAAAACTTTTTCTGAGTTGTTTTTCTTTTTAAGAAATAAATTTAGAAATAGAAAGAATTGTTTTTTATTTTTTATTTTTTGAAAATGTTGCAAACATTTATTTAAGAAAGAAATTCAAAGTGAATTTTTCTTTGGAAAGTATATTCATTTTCAAATTCGTCACTGATATTTTCAATTGAAATCTGAAAATATCATTTAGTCTATTGTTTATCTTGAGATTTCGAATTTGCAAAGTGGTAATTTATATTTATCTCTTTTTATTTCTTATAAATAACATTTTCTCTGCAATCAAACAAAATAAACTTCTGCAAATTGTTCGTGGAAAAAATAAATATATTTTTTATGATACGCTCTTGTTTTACCCGCCATTTCTTGTAGTACAAAGAATAAAACTTAAATACTAGATTAACTAGTGTAGAATTATCTATAAATGCAAGTAGAATAATTAAGTAGGTGTGCCCGTGTGCTTCGAACACCTCGTTCCGCTCGCCCATAGGCTTGATATTCTGAACTTTAATTTTGTATATATCCGGTCACAGGTTGAATTTTAAAATTCTGTCCGCATCGTGACCTAGACCGAGATGAATTCTGTTTTTTCACAAAAAAATTATTTAAATCAGTTAAGCGGTTTCAGAGTTAAACGTCTCACAATCGTCAAAGTCGTTGCTAAGAGCTTCGCTCAATGAGCCATAGGATTATCATTAAAACTGTTTTACAGTCGAAAATTCTGTAATTTATATCTAAATCTTTGAAAATTAAACAGGAAATATTCTTATATTCAAAAAGCAAACTATATTTTCCACACATTTTTTAAAGTTCCGCTTAATGGCAGAGTGACGAAACATCATTCAGAGATATTATTATAAAAATTGATATTTTGTTCGATTTTGAATACGAAAAAGTTTGATTTTTACGCTAAATTCAGGCAAAATTCAATGATGAAACTACAATAAATATATACAGAGAAGTTTATTTCATATGGAATAAGTATTTTTAAATTATTTTGAAACATTCCTGCATACTGTGCTTTACTTCAAACGTATAGGGAATAGGGGAAGTAAGAAAATGTTATAGAAATAAAATTTAATACTGTTACGAATCGAATTCTGAATGTTACTGATAAGCAGCCAGGCAAGAAATATGACATAGCTACATTTTTATGTCTATGTAGCTACATCATGTCTCTTGCGTGTATGCGGGTCAACTTCAGTCAGATAATACACGAGATACGTTTAAGAATAATCTATTTTTTAATGCTGAATTGCAAACTAATAACTTATTAACTAATTAATTTTGTCATTTCTTTCGGAAATTATCTTACTAATAATTATCTTCACATGCAAATGAGATGTGTATCTTTATTCTTTGCACTTCTTATGCCCTCAATATTTGAATTTTTAGCAAAAAGAAGAAAAACTTAATTAAAAATAAGACAAAATAAAGATGTTTTGTCTTATTTTTGAGTAAGTTTTCCTTCATTTTGCTAATTCGAAACTACACCAGTATAATAAGTCCTATTTACAAACAAAGTCTACGTGGATAATATATAAACAAAAATTAAGATGTGTATCTGTTTTATGAAGCTTTCGACATTAATAAACTTAAGAAAATATCTAAATATTACTTTAAAAAACATTAAGAATACATTATATTAACTTTTCGATCATTTATTAAAGTCTATTTTTAGAAATTTAAGGCTTGAACATACATTTTTTCTGCGTGCTAAAAATTGATATCCCGTATGATTTAAAGGCTTAGTTTTTTGTTAAGTTTAAGAATTTTTGCGTACAAAATATGCAAAAATTATTAATTATCGAGGAATTTTAGCTATAATTACATAAATTATAAATTTTGCAACGTGTAATGATTATATAACAATTACAGACGTTGCGTATATGTGTCACGCCAGTTTGAACTTTACATATTTTAAATACTTCTATAAATTATTAAATTTATATAATTAATTATTACGAAAAGTCTTGTTTCCTTTTTAGGATTNAGACAAATAATGTCGTGTGTTATTTTATATGAATTTTTTTTAAATGTGATGTTTTTATTATACTGTATAAATACTAAAAACATACGTTAAAATTATAAGTTAAATTTACCTGTACTTGTATAATTTCACATTTTGGGGCTGAACGAAACTTTTTGGGCTGCAATTTGAATACATTTTAGACCTATAAATTCCCAATGTCTGCCTGTGTTAGATGAAATTCCCAATTTCTAGAACTGTGTTAGATGAAAGTCAAGACCAGGTATGGAAAGATTAGGGGCAGGCTTTCCATTAACTATATTCGAACTTCCACTCTAGACCAGAATCACGTGATTTCAAATAAAAAATGTCCCCCGAATGAAGTTACATAGATAACCGGCACCACTCTGTTGTTGACAGGAAAAATGTGATGTACAGGGGCAAGACATAGTATGATGTATAATTTTAATAAAAGTTATTGAGAAAATTTCATTTTCTTTAAAAACAAATAATAATTCGTTGAACAATGACGTAATTAAGATAATTTAAAATAAATTTTAATGACGTTTTAATTTACTTACTGTAATGTAGCATCGTAATTGCGGATGAAGATGAGTAAGAAGAACTTTTCAGTTAGAAAATTATGAGAGATGCTCACCATTTGCTTTATTGATTTTTTTAACGTTTTAAACTTAAATAATGCAATTGTTTCTCTTTCTGTGTTTGTGTTTAATTTTGCAATTAGTATTCAACATTATCCAAACTTTGGTGAGTAATAAAGAGGTTATTTGAATAAAGTTGAAAATTAAACGATTTCCTCCTTATTTCGGCATTTATTCACTTGACTTGGATAAAGTTAACATTACACGGATTTCGTACGTTATCCTTAATATATATTTAAATTAATTTTTGGAAATTAAAAGTATACCTATGTAAAATACAAAATTAAAAATTAACAGAAAGGAGAGATAATAAAATAAATTGGATGCAAAAATTTTCACTTTTTTTATGAATATGAAACTTCATTTTNATAATATATATAATTTAATATTATTCCAAGAGTTATTGTCCCTTTCGGATAAATTTCGTTTGAAAATATATTGTAAAAGCAAATTACGTTACAAGCCATCTCGAGTTTTAGCAGCCTGATGTTGTCTGTCTGTCTGTCATCTCTACTCGGAAAAAGAAAGAAAAAAAGGGAGCAGACTTGACTAGTCATCAAACTTTTCTTTTTTGCCCCTGTCTCATGAATAGAGTAATACGTTTTACTTCCAGCTAGAAGTTTTTATTTGTTTTTTTCCTTATTAATTTAATATTATTTTATGATAGAAAGCTGAACTTCTATTCAAAAAAATCCTATTCATTTTTTTTCTGGTTTACATTTGAAAAAATGGAGACAATTCCTAAATCTATCTGAAATTTAAATGGAATTTTATATGCGTTTTATATTAAATTTATAATAATGGAATGATGATATATTTGTAAGTGAAATATATATTTCGAAAAGAAAATTCAAAAATAACTACATTTTCTACTCAAAAATTTTATTGAAAATTTTGTCGAAGATAATTTGCATTTAATGATGTAAGTATTAGAAATATTGAGTTTTTTCTATTTATCTATTTTTAAAAATCATTAAAAACTTTCACATTTTATAAATTATTTTAAGTTAATTAATAAATAAATTTATTTATTAAATATTGATTTTTTTATTAAGTTAGTACAATAAATTGCGCCCACGAACAAATACATAATTTTAATTTAATATTTGATTCAACAATAAAATTTAGAAATGACTTCCGGTCCTTACCGGAAGTTCGTATATAGTTAATCTGGTCTCGATTTTCATCTATTTAAATGCTTTCTGAAAGTTAATGAAAGACTAACAGACGGACAGGCGGACGAATAGGTCTGCAATCTGAAAATTTTAGCCTAATAAAAGCTTTACTTAATAAATAATCATTTTAAAAAAACATAAAATTATAAAATGTACTAAGAAGTTAACTTAAATATAATTTAATTACTTATTATTTTGCTAAAGAAAAGTAAGAAGAGAAAACTTTAAAATAATTTAATAATTTAAAAAAAATGATTGTTGATTTTTTTGGATAAAAGAAAGGTATAAGTGTCGTGTTTGTAGATTCTTTCCTACACATTTTTTTTTTTAATTTTGAACTCTTGCCAGTGAGATTTATCCTGATTTTCAACTTTAATAAATGACAGGTATTTGTCACACTGACCAGATACGTGATGCGAAAGTAAACTGGTCTTTTATACGGTAGATTTTGTATAGTATCTTGAAATTTACTTGTGTGTAACACTGTTCGGATTTTATGTACTTCTTGGGAATAGATGATACATACGTGTTTTATTTGTTATATACCAGTGAACAGAATTCATCGAAAATAATTTATTTGGTAAAAATAGTAAAAATTTATGCGTTTATATATTTATATACAGTTTCAAAATATTAAAAATAGATTATTTACGTTTGTCGATATTTTTAATTTTTTATTGTGTTTATATCATTTTGCTTATAATTTCAATTTCTTATACATTTTCATACTTCATAGTATAATTTCATATATATATATATATAATTGGCTATGTTTGAGAAGTTGTAGCCTATGTCTT